GCTGAAGAAGATGATGAGAGTAGCGAAAACTGTGAGCTTGTTTTCATTCTTTGATAACTGGCATGATGCCTTTAACTTTTTGAGCTAGGGATACAGTGCATCTTGTAACTTGCTATTAGGATGACATGAGAGTATCACAGCCCTGTTTGAAATATATGGAGGCAGTCATGAAGAGTGAGCACTATGTTTCATGCTGAACATCTTTTAAATTATCTCCTTTCTTCTTGTGTTCCAGAGGCTTTTCCTTGTGTCACTTCCACTCAACTATTCTAATCAGTGATTTCAGAGCTTAATGCCGCTTTGTTTAGTGTTGTATTACTAGGTGCAAGAAGCCCTCAGTTTTCTTTGTTTGGTGTTAGGAAACAAGACACTTTCTCTGCTAGCATTTCTACATATTTTAGGGGGCAATCTTTTCTCTGAGTCTACCTGGCACAAAGGTCTGTTCTTGTCAGCTGACTGGCTGATTTCACTCTCAAGCCAGCTCTTTCATTTCATAGCATTTTTCTTTGTAGCTTGAAAACCAGCAGGAACACTGGCTGGCACTTAACTGATGTTCTGGCAACTGTCGCTGCACAGATCCAGATCTTCTGATTGAATGATTAATACCTTAATCCCCTGTTCAGAACTGAAGTCCAATAAAACTTGAAAAGATCTGTGAGTGTTCAGAAATGTAGGGAGCTTTTAAAAATGTTTTTCAATTAGAGAGGAAGCGAGAATACTTCCTGTAAACTTCTTGTCTCTCATGTTGAAAAAGTTTATAGTGTGCTGTATATAATACTTGTGTGTTTAATTCACTTAGAATTATTAATCATCATTAAATATAACAAGCTAATTGTGGGTTTTTTTGTTGTGTGTGGTGGTGTGGGTTTTCTTGGGGTTTTTTTTGTTTGGTTGATTTTTTGCATTGAGGTCTGAAATTGGTTATCCTCTGCAGTGTAATAATGTGAGATAAATATGTGAAATCTCTTTTACACAGCTATAAGTAGTTCTTCTTCTGATGACAGTGATGAAGGAACAGATGAAGAAATAAAAAGTGAAGAAAGTGACATAGAAGAGAGGACAGAAATGGTATATTCGTGAGCTCCTTAACTTAATAGGATTTAAACACGTGTATTTGAAACTCTGGAAGAATTGAAGCAGATGAAATACAGGCCATAGCTGCTTATTCAGCTGGAATTAAAAGCATACTTTTCTTACTGCTGGTGCTGACTGTGGTTGAGTTTTTGAAAACTATAGAAGATGTAATATTCTTTTAGAATTCTTTGATATTAATCTAAAAATACACATTTGTTTCTTCTCTTTCTACACATAAGGCTTATGTGGAGAAAACAAAGCAAAATAAATTATCCAGATTTGTGGGTGTTGTAAACTTTTACTGGTCTGTGCAGGTTGCACAAATCCTAATAGCAGCAGGATCTTTCTGGCTTTTGTATTTTACTGTGAAACAGGCATGTCAACTCTGGTCTTAAATTAAAATGTAGAAGACTGACTTCAGGAAAAAACATTATTTTCTCTACATTACTGAAAAGAAAAAGTACAGCGTAAACAGCTGTTCTGAAGGTCTGTGGAATCTAACTACTACAGTGTGGGTGATCAGAAGCAGCAAAACATAAGACATTTCTGTTCATTTTTTTGTGTTAAATACTTCAGCAAATGCTAAATTAAAAAATAAGTTTTAAAAAATGAATTTACAGATGACTTCAAAGCAGTATTGTTAAATTGCTTACAGTAAGGTTACTATCCACTTAAATATTTACTATACTTTATACATTTTATTTTTGTGTGACAAAACTTGGTTGTTTTCTTGTATCCTGACTACTGAAGTTCTTTTTCACTAATATTCATAAGCACAACCAATATATTGTTTCTTGCACTGGTCTGTTGTAGAAAGAAGAACAAGACACTCACACAAAAAGGGACATGGAAGAAAGAGCAATAAGCATAGAAATTCCTGAAGTCTTGAAAAAGAAGCTTGAGGAAGACTGTTACTATATTAATAGAAGAAAACGGGTATGAAATAAAAGCTGTGAAATGAATGTGCACGAGACGGGGGTGGAGGGCATCAAAAGTAGTTCTTGCATATAACAACTCCTGTTTCTTTGAACTTCATTGCAAAGGTGAGCTTAGACAGTATAAGGAACAATAAAGAGAGTGTAGGGAGCGGACTTCTCTATAGCTAAAACAGTGAGTTGTCATTATAAATGTAACATTTCGGTACCCAATTGTGTTTTAGAGCACAGATTGTTTTTTAAAGCTGGAAATGTAGTAAGCTTGTTAACCTGACCATATTTTTGTTTCTCCAGATGTTTGTAAAGGATTGATCAAAAAATGCAGTGTAAGGGTTCAAATTAATCACTCCTGAAATAACTTCATGCACTAGAGATTTACTAAACTAGTCAGTACATTACAGGCTCCTGTTTTAGCTTGGTATGCTTTCTAATTGTTTTTTGTAAGACATTAATTTGTTTTTTCTTTTTCAGCTAGTGAAGCTTCCTTGTCAGACAAATATAATAACCATCCTGGAGTCATATGTGAAACATTTTGCTATTAATGCTGCTTTTTCAGCCAATGAAAGATCTCGGCACCATCAGATGACACCACATGCTAATATGAATCTTCACTATGTGCCACCAGAGAAGAAGTAAGTAATCTTTAGTCCACTGCTATTATCACAAGAAGAATGACCTTGCATTCCGTGTTCTGTTTCAAGGCTGTTCAATTCTGTGAGCTTATAGTGGATGTATGTCTATTTATGAGGCTTAAAATATTTGACAGATACCTATAGAATCATGGGATCGTAGAATCGTTTAGGTTGGAAAAGACCTTTAAGATCATCCAGTCCAACCATTAACCTAACATTACCAAGTCCACCACTAAACCAATTAAGGGTAGAGTAGCAACCCCACGCCCCCTGGCTTGGTGGCTGTATCATTTATAATGAAAGTAAAAACTAGGAATCATTAAGGTTGGAAAGGACCTTTAAGATCATCAGTCCAATCATCAACCCAACACCACAATGCCCACTAAACCATGTCCCAAAGTGCCACGTCTATCCGGTTTTTGAACTCTTCCAGGGATGGTGACTTCCTCACCTCTCTGGGCAGCCTGTTCCAATGCTTGACTACACGTTCTGTGAAGAAATTTTTCGTAATATCCAATCTAAACCTCCCCTGGCGCAGCTTGAGCCCATTTCCTCTCGTCCTATCACTAGCTACTTGGGAGAAGAGACCAACACCCACCTCACTACAACCTCCTTTCAGGTAGTTGTAGAGAGCGATAAGGTCTCCCCTCAGCCTCCTCTTCTCCAGACTAAACAATATATAGTACAGTAACACTGACAATTTGTTTATCAGTGAGAGAGTCCCTATAATCTGAAAAGTCATTATGCAAAAGCATCAATATCCCCTTTTATCATGTAAGTTCTTGTGAATATTGTGCCTGTTTTGGAAGAATGTGTTGCTATTGTCTACGTGAAGAATTTTGTGAGCACTGAGAGAGTATCTAATATGAGCATTACCTGCTTAAATAAAACTGAACAGGTTCAGATTTTATAAAGGAGGAAAATTTTGTACAAACACTTATCGAGAGCTCCAAGTGCCCGTGATTTTTTATCATGTAAGTTCTTGTGAATATTGTGCCTGTTTTGGAAGAATGTGTTGCTATTGTCTACGTGAAGAATTTTGTGAGCACTGAGAGAGTATCTAATATGAGCATTACCTGCTTAAATAAAACTGAACAGGTTCAGATTTTATAAAGGAGGAAAATTTTGTACAAACACTTATCGAGAGCTCCAAGTGCCCGTGATTTTTTTTTAAATCAACATATCTTAAAACCTAGAGTCAATGAAACAATGTGTGTAGTAACACCAATCCTGTTTATTAAAAATGATTACATCTTAGTTGCTGTTTTCTCAGCTGAGCTGTATATTCTTCCATGCTACAAATGCAGTGTGTTAACACTGCATGTTTGCAGTGTGGGGTTCCCTGTCTGCCTCCCCCCCATATGTTAAAGATTCTCAGTATTAGATGAGACTGCTTCTTTATCTAAGTCTACACTGGGGTGAAATCTCGTATTTTATCAAAGATAAATCTTGACTTTTGTTACCATGTTTTATTTCAATGGTACATAATTATGCTATTCCTTGCAATATTTTGGTCTATATGAGTGTCTTGGTTTATATTGATGTCATTCGTTAGTTGACAGATTAATGATACTTTCCTTTTTTCTAATATAATCTCCCAAACAAGAAGTTAGATGAGATGTCAGAAATACGAACAGAAGGTTGTATGCACATTATTTTTAAAGGTGTATGGTTAAGTGACTTCCTTAGTAAAGAAGGTGCTTTAATAAGGAAAATGTGTATAATTTCAGTGATCCATTAAGTAGGAGAGATTCAGCTGACAACTTTATTGTTGCCCTTACTGCTCTAACACAGAAGGTAATTGACCTTCTCAGATGTGATAGAATTTCTGCACATGATGGTCCCCTGACCCAATTTATGTATGGTGTTTAAAGAAAAAAAAGGCAGTAGTTTTAACAGGTGGTATGGAATGGTAATACGAGGTATGGAATTTCTAACGTGGGTCATTGTGGTAGAATCAAATTACTGTTACGGTATACATATATGCACTTGAGATGTGAGAGATGACCTTCATAGAGGTGAGAGGTGTTGGAGGTGGGCTGGGCTCAGTGTTCTTGGTTCTGCTTGTAACAGCACATCTACTTGCCACCTAGTCTTTTACACAAGCCTAAACCTGAAATTGCTCATAACCAAAACACTACATTTAGAGGCTACTAGGAGCAGGCCATTGGAAACCGATCTCCAATGCAAATGTGTCTGTTGGTTCACTGGATATCTCTTAAGCACAGCCTTAACCGCATCTTTGCGGCTATAGATCAAATGCTGCGTGTGCCTTTTAGACAGATTCAATCTGTTGAATACTTACTTTCTCTAGCAGGTGCCTCTTTTTTGAGCTTAGTAAACTTGGAAAAATAAAATATATTTACATGAAAAACTATGTAACTTTATTTACTGTAAAGTTCATTTAATTAATCCAGTAGATAGTAATAGAATAGAACAGTTGTATGATTTTGTTTGACCTTATTAAGCAGACTTTTAATGTACTTGGCTGCAGTTACCAACAGCAATCACTGTCTCTCTAAGTATGCTTTTCATCGCTCATCATTACTTAGTGATGAAGTCAGCATATTGTAGTTAAGACACTAATGATCTGTATTCAAAGGGAATTTCCTACAACTACAATGAAAAATTTTGACGTGCAACTTCAAAATTCGTAATCCTTTTTTTTTTTTTTTCCCCTCTAGTGTTGAGCTATGTAAAGAGATGGTGGATGGGCTGAGAATAACTTTTGACTTCACACTTCCATTAATTTTGCTCTATCCTTATGAACAAGCTCAATTTAAGAAGGTGACTTCATCAAAATTCTTTCTTCCCATCAAAGAAAACTCAACAAATACTAACAGGTAGGTTGGGTATACAGGGTCTAATATTGCATATCTCCTGAGGAAAATGCAGTATGTTCAGAATAGGATGATTTTTCACAGACGTTGACTTAAAAATTGTCTTGATAAAATGTTGAACTTTTCTGTGAATTGTTTGCCTGAATTCAGGTTCTGAATTTCTGTCTGGTTAACTTCAAAAGAGGTTTGTACTGACTGGTGTAGAGTTACACTGCAACTTAATGGGGGGAAAAAATTTACACTGAAATGTAAATTTGTGTTCATTAGCTTTTACTATTTTCCAGAAGTATATTTATTTTCAAGTTTATTTAAAAGAAGGCCTCATCGCTTTGATAGTTGTTGGGAAGAGACTGTCTAATTTGAATAAGTATTTAACAAGATCTGTGAAACTAGAAGAATCTCTTTTGGGGGAAGAGCCCTGATCTCTTCACTTCTGTAAAGCTGCCTTTATTTCCTAGAAATCAGGAGGAGCTTTCCCCAAGTCCTCCTCTGTTGAATCCACCAACGCCTCAGTCAACCGACAGCCAGCCTACAACAGGGGAGCCAGCCACGCCAAAAAGGCGAAAAGCTGAACCTGAAATTCTGCAGTCATTGAGACGTTCTACACGCCATAGCTCTAACTGCGACAGGTTGTCGGAAAGCAGTGCTTCCCCACAACCTAAACGACGGCATCTTGAGACCCCAGCTTCTATGCCAAAGCTCTTCTTGCATTTGGAAAAAAGTAGGTTTTGCTCTTTAAATTGTTGCTCTCAACAAGAATTTTAAGTCCTGTTCTTTTTCTTTTTCAATGCTGTGTGGACTGTGCACTGAATGATTGAAGTGGGGAATCATTGCTTTTTGTATCAATTATTCATCTCCGAGGCCTTAATACGACAGGGAGAAATACAAAGCAATATTCTCAGTACTTCTCAAGAGAATTCAAGGAGCTGCTTTTCTGTGAGACCACTTTAGGATAGCATTTACTGAGTGCCAGTGTTTAAGACTTTAAACATTTTAGCAGCAGGCCTTAGTTATGTTTAATTGCTTATAGTTCCATAAAATGGGTAATAATATCTATTTCTGATTTCTTTTGTTTTGTTTTTCCTTCTCTTTTGAAGAAACCCCTGTCCATAGTGGATCATCTTCACCTATAACTTTGACTCCTAGCAAGGAGGGGAGTGCGGTTTTTACTGGCTTTGAAGGTAGAAGAAACAATGAATTGAATGAGGTAACAGATTTTTATGTTACTGTCCTAGATTCAATGATTAAAGGTTTTGTGGACCTCACAGTAGGGCTGTGTGAGAAAAGGTTTTGTTTCTATTACTTAATTCATCTTTAATTTTTGAAGTTCTGTACAGACTACATTATTTATGATGCTATAAAGACTTCATAACCAACATTTTCATGTGTTATGTTTAGGTTCTGTCCTGGAAATTGATGCCAGAGAATTATCCACCAAGTGATCAACCACCACCTCCCTCATATATCTATGGATCTCAACATTTGCTACGGATGTTTGGTAAACTGATGCAAAACTCTGTGCTCAATGAAAATTGCTTTGGTTTCTTTTTTTCTTTTTTTTTTTTTTTTTTTTCGGCGAAACTTTTTGGGCCAAGAAAAATTTTTTTTGTTTTTTTTTTTTTTTTTTTTTTTTTTTTTTTTTCAGTGACCGTATCTGTGTGATTTTCTGTTTGCTTTATTGCATTTAGTTTTATTCTTGGAGACAAGTACATTTTAACCTGTTTAAAACTCTTAGGCTGTTCATAAATTTGCTTATCTTTCACTAGGTCTGCAAGCCTTCATTTAACATGAGCAAACAAGCATTACTTCCAATACACTATAAAACATAATTAAACCAAGCAGCATTCACTTTCTCAGCATGTTTCTTTTTAGTAAGGCTTTGAAAGATCACTGTGTAACTTGCAAAGAAAAGTGGAGGCTGAAGGGAGAAGAAATTTTTATATTATTCTTTTCTGTATAGTAGATAAAAGTAGTTAGAAATTGCTTTTGCAAGAACAGGTGTAAACATTCTTTCTCTCTTTTTTTTAAAATTTATTTATCTTTTTTTTTTTAACAGTAAAGCTACCAGAAATACTGGGGAAGATGTGCTTTCCTGACAAAAACCTAAAGGCTTTAGTAAAACACTTTGAAATGTTTCTGAGGTAATGTGACATAATGTACCACAGCAGTGTTTGCATTGTTACATAGATCTGAGTGTCCTGGAATGACAAAGAGTTTTTAAAATAAGATGCTCATCTTCCATAACTACAAGAGTATGATAAAATTAATGTAAGATTTTAATAATAACAATTTGAATAAAGATTAATACAAGATTTTTGATTCTGTAATTCAGATTGAAGGGAACCTGAACTCATTACTTAAAGTTTTCATAAACACAGCAATAGAGAACTGAAGTATAAAAGTTGATTTGCTAGTATGTATAGAATGACAAGTTTGACTTTGGTTAAGAAGTACGTTTTATAAAGAAATATAAACTCTGCATTGTTATTTTTGAGAGCATAATCTGAGAGTTTTGATGTTGCATTGATACTAGCAGGGAGAGAACCTTGTGGTTTAAAACATGTTTTTAATTATGGTAGTTTTTAAAGAAAAGTCTGTCCTAGCTGAGATTTAAACAGAAAAGTTTCTCTGTTACGCAGTGCAGTGGCCTGTAGGGGTACCCAAACTCTTTCTGACCTTGTTAGCTCCATGGCTGGAGTCAGGATGGTCATACCTGCATCATGACCGATCAGCTTTGTTTGTCAGGTACTCTAGTTAATATCTCTGCATGACATTGTGGTGGTAGTTAGGTATCTAGTGTGGCACTGTATTGTGCAGCATCAATACAGTGGAAAATAAATTTGCCAAGGAAAGCTTACAGGGGCAAGTGTTGTAAATGGTAAACATCGTGAACAAATGTGGAACTCCTAACTTAATTTTGGTCAAAGACTCTTTAAGTAGCCACTGAAAAGTAACACAACGTGGCACTAGCATGCCACATGTCCAAAGTCCTGTTAGCGATCAGGGAAAGTTATAAAATGCTTTTACTTTAGTTGTTTGTTGAAAATAAAAGATGTCTCAAATGTCGAAGTTTCTACAATACAAAATTTTTCTCTTGAAACATTTAATTTTTAAGGTTTTTACCGATTCCTTTTTACATCTCTATTTTGTCAGATCCTTTAGTATTCAAAACATCTTGAAGTTAAGCAGGACAGCATTAGTGCTTATTGTTGGAAACCTGTTTTTGCTTGGAGTGAATATTATTTAGGGTGCTTAACTCACTGTGGACCAAATCAGTTTTTATCAGACCTCTGCCTTTTCAGATTCTTCTGTGTTGGTCAGAGCAGGTCTCTACTCTTTAGCATCTTAAATGCATTTTCTTCATACCCATTCTATGGATGAGCTGTGGTAGAGTGGAATGGAGGGAAGGAGGAAACATGTTCCCCACCCACCATGCAAGTAGGGAGGTGATTAAACTGGAAGTTCTAGTGGTAGTATACATACGTGTCTTATTTTTTCCATCTGACCATCTTGTTGAAATGTGCAGTGATCTATAAATAGAAATTAAAAAAAAGAAATCAGAAGATGTCTCCACATCAGCATTTTTAGGTCATACAGAACTGTGCTTTTGAAGCAGATATCTCAGTAGTTCCTGCTTACCATGCTTTGTGTTGTGTTGCAGAGTGCTCTGAGTACACAAGCTGGATTCCTTTTGGAAATACTTAAACAGAAGTGTGCTCCAGTACTAGGGGATGTTCAGTCCTCAAGACCAGACTACAACTAAACCGAAATGAGCCCCCCAAGGCAAGCATAGTGTGGATATCTCATGTCTGGTACAACAAAGTATTGAAGGGCTGTGTGTTTTTTCAAGTGCTTTCTAAGCCAGTGTCATGTATGTTTTGCTGATGCTGTTCTCAAGGTTTCTTTCCTATGCTGAAATACTGATTTCTATGGTTTTGTCAGAATTGGTCACATTGAGAGCCTTTCTGAAAAAGCTTCCAAGTGACAGTTACTGCTGTAGGAAGCATTCGATCTTGGGTAGCTTTGTCATAAATATTCTTCTTAGACTAGTGTCGTGGCTTAGCCCCAGCCAGCAGCTAAGCAGCACGCAGCCGCTCGCTCACTCCCCCTACCCTGATGGGATGGGGGAGAGAATCGAAGGAGTAAGAGTGAGAAACACTCCTGGGTTGAGATAAGAACAGTTTAGTAATTGAAATAAAGTAAAATAGTAATGATAATAATAACAATACAATAATGATAATAATAATACACAAAGCAAGTGATGCACAGTGCAATTGCTCACCACCCACTGACCGATACCCAGCCAGTTCCCAAGCAGTGGTTGCTGCTCCCCGGCCAACCCTGCCCCCCCCAGTTTCTATACTGAGCATGACGTCATATGGTATGGAATAGCCCTTTGGCCGGTTTGCATCAACTACTCTTGCTGTGCCCCCTCCCAGTTTCTTGTGCACCTGGCAGAGCATGGGAAGCTGAAAAGTCCTTGACTAGCATAAGCACTACTTAGCAACAACTAAAACATCAGTGTGTTGTCAACATTATTCTCATCCTAAATCCAAAACATCACTATGCCAACTATTAGAAAGAAAATTAATTCTATCCCAGCCAAAACCTGGACAACTAGTTTCCTTACCTGTGTATTTAAATAGGTAACATAGAAACCAATGCAAATTATTAGACCCTCCCTCCCTGCCCCCCCCAATATGTATTCATGGGGCTTTAGGACGTCTTTCACTTGCGTATTTCTTTCATTGTCTCATATGTCATTGGAAGTGGTCAAACGATTACATTTTCTAGAAACTTGTTTAGACTTGATTTTTGTCACAGAAATACTTCTGCATTATCTGTTTCTCATCACGAGAGAACTTGAGGCTGAGGTGACATCTTGTGCTAGTTCTTCAATTTTCACATTCTGTCTTTCCCTTTTTGGGACTGAAAGGATTAATGGATGTTTATTAAAAATATTTTCTATCAGTTCTGTTCTAGTTTACCTTTTGAAAAGTAAGAACTGTTCTACAGTCTACACATTAGGTAATAGCAGACAGTTTACTTAAGACTGCCTAATTTCCTTCAGTGAATTGCTCTTGAGTGACAAGCTGAAGTACTCTCCTTTTCTTTATTTTTCTAATAGCAGATAAGGGATTGAAGCTGTCTGTTCATGTTAATAAAACTGTTTCTGTAGAGTAGTCCAAGCATAAGTAGCTTATGTATTTTAAAATAACTTTCATGTGGTACACAACTGATTTAGTTCTGGCATAGATACTGATTTAATTTTGAATTATGATTTTATGGCGAAAATTTACAGTTTCATTTAACATTTGTACTATTAATCTCATGTGGGCTGAGAAATTGAGACTTAATTAATGTAACACTTTGTCTGGAAGCTTGTTTTATTGAGTTTACTCAGTACTTGATAGATGCATTAAATTCGCTTTGAAATGCTACATGGGTAATGTTTCCCAGTCATGCCCTCAGATTGCTGCTAGACAAGATTGATCTCAGCTTCCGAGACAACATAGATTTTTAAGGGATGTATGAAATACATCTTTGAGTTTCATACTAAGTAGAAGCTGTACCCTTTGTGCTTAGTGCAGCTTTCTACAGGTATCATAATGAAAATTTCTTCATGGAGAGCATGAAAGTTGATTTCTCATTTGTAGAATTTGCAGAAGTAAAAAAAATTAGTTTCTCAAATTAAGTATAAAACCCTTAGGCTTCAGCTCAAATTATTTAGGTCTGAAATAATTCATAATACTTGCAGAAGAATAACAGTCTGAAATGGACTTCAGTGACAAACTCGGTTTCACTGAATTGCACTCACAGTTTGAATTTAGTCTTCAGGAGCAAGCAGTGGAAGCTAACACAGTAACTGGTGCCTACTAACTGGTAATCTTACTAGCAAAGGACCCCTGATTAAATCTTCCTGCCTGTTAATAGTTTTTGAGATAGAGCATTTAATTAAAAATATGGCTGAAATAATAAAATTGGTTAAAAGGCAGTATTTACTCTATGTGCTGTATAAGATGACTTCTCTGAATTGTGAGGTGCCTAGCATGCCTACGGATGCTGCTTAAGTGATGAGAAATGATAGCCAAGGTGGTGTCAATTTTTGTTCTGCTGTTTCCATTGATTTGAACACAGCCTTGACTTTTAAAACTGTTTTGGGATCAGAGAGGTCAGGACTGTTGACCAACAGGAGATACTTACAAATTCCGAGAATATAACATGTCTGTTTTCAGAATAGCAAGACCCATCTTCACTGAGGTAATTTCAGTCAATGTCGTTTGCATTATAGGGGAAAAAGCAAAGCAAAATGGTACAGCACTTCAGAAAGCCACAGGTATTTGACTTTCATGAAATACAGAAGAATGAGTAAGTGATGAAATATTTCTAAAACAATGCTTCTAAAAATTCTAATGCACTTTTCCAGATGAGGCCAATATGTATTTCAGATTATGGAAAGCTGCATTCTTAATGATCAAATCTTTGGTTTGGTTAAAAACCCATTGATATTTCAAACTCAGTATATCCTGTCAGTTGTCTCTTTCATTTTAGATCTCATTTTTTTCCTGATGTTTTACAGCCTGCTTATATCTATTGTGCCACTCTGCTCCATGGGTAGAAAAGTATTTTAGTACTGTTGAGTAGTTTCATTATATATAATTGCAGTGTGAATTATGACCACTAGTCTGTGCTAATGTGCAGTTAATGAGAGGTTATTAGTGGCTTTCTGAGAATGAAAAAATGAAGCATTGCGCGTGGTGAATGGAATAGAAAACATCTTTATTTAGCTGAAGTTGCTTGTGATGGAGTGCCTGCTCATTGTGACTTAATAAAGTTGCAAGATGGCAAACGATTAAAAATCACTTTTTGAAAGATCACAAAGAATGCAGTTCTGCTCCTGTTTCTTATATTGATTCGGGCTTTTCTATTTGCCTCTCAATTTTGGGATTAACCTGTTACTTGACAAGAAGTACTTGTGCAGCATAGCAATTACAACACACTAGAAAACTTTATGGAATCGGAGCTTAAATGTGAGAAAATCAAGGTTCTGAATGTAAATGGACAGGTGTGGGTTTAGAGGTACAGACAGGTAAAGGAACTTTTTTTTAAAGTTTTGAAACACTTTGAAATGAAGGAATTG